CACATACAGAAAAAGTCTAAAATATTTATACATTGAATTTAAAGAAGAGTTATCAAACAAGATCTCGTGAAACCACCGCCCACGTTAATAGCAATTCCAGTATCTTAGAAGCCCTCCACACATCCCTCCTCTGTCACAATCTGCTCCTTCTCTCAAAGGTAACAACTTTACTGATTTTTACGATAATTGTTACATTGATTTCCTTTACTACTTCCACTATCTCCGTATTTAAATGGAGCCGTATTGTATGTGTTCTTTACAAAACTTTCTTTTCAGCATTACATGTAAGATTCTCCCAAGTTGATGAGTGCAGCTGTAGTGACTCTATTTTTCACTGCTGCATACATACTCCACTATATGACTATACCATAAATTATTTTTCCAATCCACTATCGATGGACATTGATCTCATTGTTTCCAGTTTTATTGTTTTTATGAACAACACTGCCATGAATATTCTTGTGCACACCTCCCTAAAGAGACACATTTGCAAATGTTTCTTCAGGGACTATCACCGAGGGATGGAATTACTGGGTTATCGGTTCCCACTTGTTCAACTTTACTAGGTTTTTATAATATATCCTTAGGTTTTATATATTTTTAAAAATTTGTTTTTTCATTATTTTAAAAATAATTCTTAATTTTTAAAAAGTTAAAAACATGATTCATAGAAATACAGGATGAACACATGGCAAAGACTTGAACACAGTAATTAATGAGAGAATCATTAAGATGGTTAAATCTGGTTCAAAGGAGAATTTGAGGAATGGAGATCTACATTGTTAGTTGGTCAAAGGAATGCTGAAACGATGTTGCTAATAGATACAAAACTGGTTAATGTCCTTGAGGGTGATAAAACTAACCTTGAGGTTATCTTTTTTACGAGTCAGAAATCCACTAGTCAACAGAACTTCACAACGCCTGGGCTCTAATCAAATAGTAAATAGCAAAGTCAAACACTGGTGTATTCTAGACAACAAAATATTTCTTTTTTTTTTTTTTTTGTGAGGAGATCAGCCCTGTGCTAACATCTGCCAATCCTCCTGTTTTTTTGCTGAGGAAGATTGGCCCTGGGCTAACATCCATGCCCATCTTCCTCCACTTTATATGGTACGCCACCACAGCATGGCTTGACAAGCGGTGCGTTGGTGCGTGCCCAGAATCCGAACCGGTGAACCCCGGGCTGCCGCAGCGGAGTGCGCACACTTAACCACTTGCGCCACCGGGCCGGCCCACAAAATATTTCTTAGATGAGCTTGTTAAACAATGACATTGATAGGACAAGTGGTCACTCTTCAGCTTTTTTTCCAAGTTTGGGATATTTTTTCTTTCTTTTTTATTTTAACTTTAAAAACTTGCTTTATTTCAGGAAAAAATGTAAGTGATGTTTAGGTAAAGGTCTTGTTCTGTGGTTAAAATTCATGGGGTGTTTTTTCTTAACGATATTGTATTTCGCTTTCAAGTTTGTGGTGAGGATCAAATGAAAATCAATTAAAGTGCTTTGTAAACTGTAAGGTGCCAAATGTATTTTCATTATTGTGATTGTTTTACAAAGGCCCTGAATCATCTACTGGATTTAATACTGATATGGGAAGGGAGTTAATTATTCAATACCTATTTTTCAAACTATTGTTTTTAATCTCATTTAGTTCTTACAAAAAGACCGAAAAGACACAGAATCTGCTTTAGTTTCTCTGTCTGTAAGATTGGGATGATAGTAGAACTTCCCTCGTTGGACTGTTGTGAGAATTAATGAGTAATACAGACTTACTGCTAAAAACAGTGCCTGATGTACAGTGAATACACAAGAAATGTTGGATCACTGTGTTTAATCTGTTATTTGAACACATCTACTGAAGTTTATCTCTAATACCGATATATTGGACTTCTAGAAGTTTTATTTGGTTCTTAGTTCTTTCACAAATCTGCCTTTATTTTTAAAAATAATGCCTTATTCTTATGTTTTACATTCCTTTTATCTTTAATCTTTCTAAACATACTTATAGTCTGTCTTCAATACTCCTTTATATAAAATATGGGTCTAATCCTGCCATATGTGGTATCTACTGATTGTCCCAGGGATTGTTTCTTCATTTTTTTCCTAATTAGAAGATGTGATAGCTGCTACACATATACTCTAGCAAAATAAATCTTAGTCCCTAAAGTTAATTTTTAAAATCATAGATTATTAGCTAAAGATGGCTGAGTTCTTCAGACCAATCGGAAGCAGAGTTCCTCATGGTGCCATGGTAGCCTTGTGAAGATAATATCCCCCTTTTCTAGATTTTGATTTTATACCACATTTATCTACAGTTTGGCCCAATTCACTGCTAGCATCATCTGTTTTATATTTTTGGGTTATTCCTCTACCCTAGCATTCATTTTGATGAATGTCCCATTATGTAATGAGAGGATAACTCTGGGCCAGTTACCTCTTCTCTGAGTCTTGGTTTTCTCCTCTGTAAGAAGGGGATGATAATAGGGAAGTGCAAAGTGTAATTTTTGTACACCACAGTGTCTGTCATAGTGTAAACACTCTATGTCAACTTTTATTGGTATTATTTTTCTTTGTACTAACCTTTTCCCAGTAACATTTATAGTCCCAAGTCAAATGCAGCCTGATATTACAACTATTATAACAATATAATGACTATTAACTCCTTGCCCTTTCCATAGTGTCCCCCTAATCCAAGTGTATCCGGCTCATCCATCCTCACTTTTTCTGGTTTTCTTGTTGTCCCCTATACGCTCCATGCTTGTTCATCTCTCCACTTAGATGGAGTTTTCCCATTCTCAACAATTCCATTCTTTTTGGCCTCGAACCACATTATCTCCCCATCCTTCAGAGCTCAGTTAAAGTTTCATGTCCTTTATGAAGGCTTTTGAGCAAGTTTAATCCACATTAATCTCTTTTTTGAATTCAAAAGCCTCTATGGAGAGTACCACGGAGTGTGGCTTTCTCAGGACTTGGTGGCTTCATTCATGGTGTGGCAGTGTGTGTCATCCTAACTACACTGAACATTTTCTTATAGGAAAAGGACGTGGCACATATCCAGTGTATATATATGACCACAAGATTCAAGTAGGTACTCTCACATATTACTAAATCTTGTCTTTTTAGCATATATTTAGTGGGAATTTGGGGCCTGGCTTGTGCTTGTGTGTAGAGAGGATTTCTCCTTGTTTCTGCCAAGTTTTCCTTGGTTACCAACCTGGGACCCCTTTTTTGTTAATTTTTCAGACTAGGGGCTCCTGGATTATTCACATAGTATAAATTCCAACCCCCAACCCAAGCGAGGGCAGACTCGTGGTTATGAATTCCATGATTCTTTGAAGTGGGAGCTATTGGAGGAATGGAAATTTAAGGAATAAAAATAAAAGGGGGCACTGAACTCCTGGATTTAATGGATTATCTTTGTTGTTACTTGTGATAAACCAGGAGCACAAGCTGGGATGTGGTGGTTCTCTAGGACATATGTGATTTAGTCACTATGTTTTTTGGTCCATAGGAAGAAGTAGGGGCAGGTATGCTGTTCCTATTGTGCAGAAACAGAAATTGAAGCCCAGAAGAACAATGGGCCTGGACCTAGGTCCTCTGGGGACTCTATTATGTTTTTCCAAAGAGAGATAAGAGGACAAACCTTCATGAGAGAAAGGCAGGCAGTCTACATCCATACATTACTGCCCAATTCCCAAACCTATCTCCGGATCTCTCCACTTCCCTGACAGTCTGGACTCCGTCTCAACTCTTCACAGAGGAGAAAACAACCCATGTTCACGTATGCAGTATTTTAGAGTTAGAGCATTTTTATATATGTTTCTTGTTTTCCAGCAGTGCTGCGAGGCAGGTGAAATGAGTACTCCGATTCCAGTTTTAGAGATGAGATGTCTGATGCGGTTTGCTCTGAAGGCCACACATTCAAATGGTATATCTGGGGTTCTAACTCATGTTCTTTGTCATCCCAAGCTTTGGGATCAGACAGGTACTTAGAATGTAGATAATGGCTGCTTTTTTTTTTTTTTTAGTGAGGTGAAATTCACATGACATAAAATTAGCCATTTTAAAGTGAACAAAATGGAATTTAGAGCATTCACGATGTTGTGCAGCCACCACATCTAGTTTCAAAGCTTTTCATCACCCCTTCCCTGAGTTTTTGTGCAGAATAGAAGAGAATCTGTGTAAGACACCCAGCCCAGGACCTTGCCCCTGGTAGGGGCTAGATGAATGCAGCCTGTATAACCAGACTCTCTCTAGTTCTCTCTCAGAAACCTGGTAATGTAAAAGGAGGAATTCTTTCCTAGATTTAACACCTTGAGAAAATCAGGTTGAGGATATGTGAAGTATTCATGTCCCAATCCTTTTTTTTTAAATGACATTTCAAAATTGCTCTCTTCCAGGAAACTTTTCCCAAGAATCTCTTCCTATTCTCAAACAATCAGACACATTTACCTACCAGTGCCCCAGTACTGAATTGCACACTGTCATGGAGCTTCCTGTCTTTTGAAGGAGTTTGTCTTCTTGGCCATGCCGTGACACGCACAGCCTTGGAGGTACCACAATACTCTACATTGTCGTGGGCACAAAACAGGCGCATAACAGGTATGTGTTGGGTTGTATTGAATGCTGGCCAGCCAGCTCCACAATTCCAGCCACCACCTGCTGACCAGTGTTTTGCCCACATTTAAAATAATGGGTTTGGTGACTGTGGATGTGCTCCTCCGGTGCTGGGCTGGAGCCTGACGTGGGCCGGCCTGGGCTCTGGTGGGCCATCACTGGGGCAGCTCTGGCTGAGCCAGGACCTGAAAGTCTCCAGCTCCCACACCTGCGCCACACAACAGATGGAAGGTGAGAGCTTCAAGCAGGCTAACCCAAGAATAGAACGGCTTTGGCCTTTATTTAAATTTGCTAATTACAGGAGCATAGGCCCCAGGCCCCAAGAAGCTGTGAATGTATTTGGCTTCCTATCTCACCAGGTGTTGAAGCAAGTGCTCGCTGTGGTGGCCAGGGGTGGCTGAGGTAGAGAGCTGATGAGGAGTGTGGCTGGGGAATTTAGGATGAGTGCCTGTACACAGCTGGGGGGCCTAGAAGCCCATAGTGTTCAGGTTTATTGGAGGATTTTCCCTCTGGCGACCTCGTATGGCTCTCCATGCCATCATTGTGCCGACACCAACTGCAAGCCCGCCTCCTGCTGCCACTGGCACAGCCCAGAAGATCACCATGGGGCCTGCTTCAGCCTGGTCTTGGAGTAGCTGACTATTCCTCAGGGTATAGAGGTAAGGGCTCTCCTGTGGAGGAGGGAGAGGGTCAGGGGTTAAGGGCCTCTGAAAACCATCCATCTGCCCACTTTAGGCTTGTGTAGTCCCTACCCTGGGGATGGTACATTTTCACATTTCACGTGTTCACAGCACATCCCTGTTTGTACAGCTCCTTCATCTACACTGTGCCCAGACCTTCGGAAAGAGGATGGGTATCCAAAGTGGTCAACACCCTCCTATAACTTCCTTTTAGTTTCTTACCCGCATCTCTTCTCCTGTCAACTCAATTTTGAAAGATAGGGAACTGATAGGGACCAATGGAAGAGAGTCGTGGGGAGCTGGCAATGCCCCCACCTCTGTTTCCTCTAGGTGGACAACTATCCCCATCTTCCCATCCCAGGAGGGCTGGGGGAGCAGGGAAGGTCAGTGCGGAAGGACAGCTGGTTCTGTAGTAGATTAGAGAACAAAAATGAAAAGGGCCAGGAGAGGAGGCGTTTGGGCCTGCCTCCCTGGATTCTTTCCCTCCTCTCAGGGAACATTAATGGAGTGCCTGCTACATGGAGTGTGGAGCCCTGTGCTAGGAGCTGTGTGAGTGCCTGAGGGTTAAGACACAACGTTTCTCATTGTCCAGCCGGGAGATAAGATGTGTTCAGAAACAATCACATCACAAAGGAGCCTGGGTCAGTTTCTTATGAGAGGTGAAAACAAAAAAGAGACCAACGCAGGTGTGTGTCTGGGGGCAGGAACAGTAGGGTGAGATAAAGTGGGACAGTAGCCGGGAGAGGGCAACATCAGGGCCTTGAGGATGTGAAAATTTTCCATTGGTGGAGCTGGGGGATGAGCCTCCAGGAGGAGCAGATGGCAGAAGTAGGGCTCGCCTGGGAAGCTGCTCCGTTTTCTAGGAGCAGAGTGTGTGTCTAAGGTGATAGAGGAAGGTGGGCCTCCCTTCTGGACTCTCTTCAGTGGGCAGTGAGGTCTGGGGAAGGGTTTCAAGCAGCCTTGACAAGACTGGAGTTACTTTCCAGGTAGGCCACTCCCTGTCTGGCAGTGATTATAGGATGGACGGAGAAGGGAGAGAGAAGAGCTGGGGAGGAAGTTAGGGGCTTTGTCAGTGGGCTGGGTGAGGGCAGTAAGGGCCTGGAAAATGGCAGTGGTAGAAAGGGAGGAAGAATCTTGTAGGCTCCTAGAACAGACAAGGAGTCTTATTTCTCTTTGCCTCCCAACCCCCAGCTCCTAGTAGTGTGCCTGGCGTGGGAGAGTTCCTGGATGCATGTTTAAGACAGGATGTGTCAGATCCTTCAGGGGTAATGGGTGACTCAAGGTTCTGGCCAGTGCTCACCATCTGCCTCCCTTGAGTGCTCTCCCCACTTTCTCTCTCCCCTCACTGCTGCCTACACCCTGAGAAACTGAGAAGTGTCAGGGGCAATGAAGAGAGGTGACATCTGCGAATGGTGGCAGTGAATGAAGGTGCATGATGATAAAGCCTCCCAGGGGACTTTATGCCTCCAGGTAGCTGTGTTACACCTCCCCCTCCCAGGCATCTGTTCCACACTAGGAGGGCGGGATCTTTACTCACAGGAGAGGGGCATTTGAGTTTGGTTCGGCTGTGCGTGAAGTTGTTGGAGGTTGTCTTTTGGCCCACTGGTTCCAGCTGAAGAGAGAAAAAGAAAACCTTGATTCCCTCCAAAGCTGGGAGAGACCTCCCTGTTGGAGGAGCATCTCACACCAGATTCCCTCCCTTTGCAAAATTGACACCAGCAAAGAGGCAAGACCCACAGCAGACACCAGCAGGCCTGGGGCGGGGCCAGGACCTGACTTCTGAGTGACAGGTCAGAGTCCGTCAGAGCAGGGTGGGACCCTGAGTCTGTGTCTTGGATTTATGGAGGAGGACACTGAGGTCCAGGAGAGACTGGCCCAGAGGCCACAGCAAGTGTGTGGAGGGGCAGGGCCCAGGACCTCCATTTCCTGCTTCTCTTGTGGGTGGCTGGGATCACAGACACTCTACATTTTCAGTTTTATAAAATGGTGATAATCAGGTTTACCAACTTCCTGAAGTGACTGGGGCTAGTCAATTTCAGGAAAACTTTGAAACCATATTGGTTACCCTGACATCATTACTACACTTGGCTTGTCAACCTTAAGAAATTGGAGTTTTCTCACATGAGCTACTTTGTATGTTTCTCACATAAATGAAAAGGTTTACTTGAAACATTCCTGGAAGCAACTGTGGTTCAGAGAAGTTCTGCTTAATACTTTTGATGCTGGGACCCTCTGAAAATGAGCTGGAAGCTGCTGTCAGCATCTTTGGCCATAGCCTGCCCCCTGACATGTGGCCAGCACCAAGAAGGATAGACTCCTGCATTCTCACCTATTCATACTCCGCCCTGCGCTCTAGCCTGCACCCATTTTATAATCTGCTTCCCTTCCTGTTCCTGATCTCATCAGTTCTTGACCCCAGGTACTGCCTTTGAGGAAGTGAAAGTATGATAAGCCAGCTAATTACCACACCTGGCCCTTGACCTTGCTTTTTGTTGTCTTAAAGCCTTTTACACCTGTTCCTTAGTAACACAATTGGAGGAGGAAGTGCTGCTCTGGTCCTAGGAGAGACACCATGGTGACTAGACAGAGCACAGGGGGCCTGTTGGCTGGGGTCCTGGATCTGCTGATAATGAGCTGTGCAGTGCTAGGCAGGCTCCTGAACTGTCCCAAGGTTAGAGGTGGGGCATTAAACCCTATCATGACAACTCCACCCTGGGTTGTTGTGAGCATCAAGTGAGAAGATGAAATGAAAGCACGTGTGAGCAGGATGCAGCTTACGTATGTAAGAGAGTATTATTTCTACTTACTTAGAACTCTTGTAACAGAACCACCTAGGGACAGAATGGATGCTAAAAGTCAGGTTGGCTGATTCCCAATGATATTCCAGGAATGCAAGAACTAACTGGCACAGAGGAAGGTAATGGTCATGTGGGTTTGATGACTGCACCAGTTTCTCCCTTCCTACTGCTTCCTTGCTATTGGTGCACGACCTGCTCTGTCTCTCATCCTTTAACCGCCCTCTCCTTCACCCCATGTCTCTCTATCTCCTTGGCCATTATTCTTCATAACTCGAGGAAGAGTTGTTTGTAGTTACTGGTTGCACTTCCCAACCTCCCGTTCTCTCTAACGTCCATTCCAATCAGTCTTCAGTCTCTGTCACTTGACTGAAGCTCTGGTCAAGGTCACCAAAGGCCTCCATATTGCCAGGTCCAATGGTCACTTTTTTTGCTTGCTTGACTTTTCAGCAGCATTTGTCAAAGCTGATGCACCTCCTCAAAATACTCATTTCTCTTGGTTCCCTGGACACGGCACTCTTCTTGTTTCCCTACTACCTCCCCACTCTCTCCTCACTTGTGGCTGGTGTCACAAGATGGAAGGAATGCCCTAGGGCTCAGTAGTTGGTCCTACACTCCTTTCCACCCAGTCTTTCTCTAGGAGCACTCAGTGAATCCCATGGTTTTGAATACCATCTCTATGCTAATGACCCCCACAGTGTTTTCTAAATCTCCACTCCTGACCAACTCTGAGCTCCAGACCCATATATCGAACAGCTTACTGGATACATCGAGGTGGATGTCTGGAAGGCAGCTCACACTCACCACATCTAAAATAGAGCTCCCCCCCACCCCCAAGCCTATTTCTATCACCTCAATCATCCACCCAATTTCCTCAACCCCAAACTAAGGAGTCGTCCTTTATTCCTCTTTTACCTCATCCATCAGCCAGTCCAAAACATAGCCCAAACCTGACCGCTTCTTTCCTTCTCCATGTCGTCACCCAGATCCCAGCCACCTTCATCTCTCACCTGGACTCCAGCAGGTCTTTCCAATTCCACCCCCGCTTCCTCCCTTCCGTCTCTACACAGCAGCCAGGGGTGAACCTGATCATATGGCTCCCCCGTCAAAAGCCATCCAAGGGCCTGGCACCTGCTCTTGCCCACCTCTCTGACCTTGCTCACTTCCCTCCAGTCACACTGGCCTTTATGTTCCTTAGACACTTCAAGCTCATTCCTGACTCCGGGCCTGCACAGGTCCTATTTCCTCTGCCTGGAACATTCTGGCCCTAGACCTCTGCGTGCCTGGCAGCCTCTTGACATTCAGTTCTTAGTTCATGTGTCACTTCCTCAGTGAGGCCTCCTTCTCCCCCACCTTTATGCTCTGTCACATCACCTGCTTTAATTTTTTTAAGCCCTGAATGTGGTCAGAAATTACCTTGTTGTGGTTTTTTTCTTAGTCTTTTCCCTCCTAAACTGTAAGCCCCACGAGAGCAGGGACGTTCTTTTCCCCAGCACCTGGAACAGCACCCACCACATAGCGGTGCTCAGTAAATAGTTGTTGAGTGAGTGGGTGGATGAAGTGGAGTCATAGACACCTGAGTGGAGAAGCTCAGAGGGAGGAGCCTGGGGCTGGACACAGGAAGGGGAGTGGTTTTTCCTAGAACCCACCTCTCCTAAGCCAGTCACATCAACGACGTGGCAAATGACAGGACCAGGAAAAGGTGGGTGCAAAGGGGTTGGGTGGGCCTCTAGCCTTCTCTGGGGATTCAGAGAAGACATCCTGCAGGAGCTGGCATCTTTGAGTTTTGAGATAGATAAGAGTTAGCCAGAAGAAGTTTGGAAGGGCAGTCCAAGATAAGGGGATGAGCAAGAGCAAACACACAGAGGCATGAGACAGCATGGGTGGTGTAGGAAACTTCACTTCTTACTAGATTTCCAAATGCAAATCAGAGGGTGGTGGGAGTGGCTGCCAGAGAGGTTAATTGGGGCCAAGTTCCAGGCCTGCTGTGCTATGCTAAGGGTCTTGGCCTTTCTTCAGGGAGGGGCAGGCCTTGGAAGATTGAAAGCAGGGGTGTGACTTGGTCAGATTTTCATTTATACAATGAATAGATTGGTTGCCCTGTGGTGAATAGATCTAAGGCAGTGGTTTGCAAACCCTGAGCAATAATATTACTTGGGGAGCTTTTAAAACATACTGAACCCTGGTGCTACCCCAGACTAAGTCAGAATTTCTGGGGATGAGGGCCAGGCACTGGAGTTTCTGTTTTTTGGTGTTTTGTTTTTTTAAGTAAACTTTTTGTTGAAGCTAATGTACACATAGAAATGAGTACAAATCATAAGTGAGCAGCTGATAAATCATGATAAAATGAACATACCCATGTAACCAGCATCCAGGCCAAGGAATAGAATATTACCAGCACTCAGAAGCCTCCCTGCTACCCTCTTCCAGTACAACCCACTCCCCAATGAGACTATATATTAATTTGCTTAGTTTTGACGTTTATATATAGTTGCATGTTGTTGAAGTTTGTTTATTCTCATTGCTGTAAGGTATTTCATTGTAAGAATGTGCCACAGTTCATCCATTCTATTGTTGGTGGACATTTAGCGACTTTCCTGTTTGGGGATTATGAATAGTCTGCTATGAAAATTTTCATATGTATCTTTTGGTGAACCCGTGTGTACCTTGCTGTTGGGGATACACCTAGCAGTGGAATTCTTGGGTCACAGGGAATACATATGTTCAGCTTTAACAGATATGCCAAAGAGTTTTCCAAAGTGATTGTAGGCGCTAATTGTTTTTAAAAGTCCTTAGATGATTCTACCATACAGCTAGAGCTGAGAATTGCTATCCTAATGGCTGTAAACCTGCAGACAGAGACACCAATCAGGCTAGTGTTGTCACCCAGCACCTGGGGAGATGCAAATGTTAGCTGAGAGTGGGATTTTGACAGGAGGCAGCAAGCAAGAAGTAGTGGAATAGTTACCAGAAGAGAGAAAGAAAAACTTTGCAAGAAGACAAAAGAAGAAAAAGGAAGAAAAAAATTCCCTGGTGGTGCTGGTGTTTCTGGCTTTGGCTTTGGCTTTGCAAAAGTCTCTAGAGGAGGCGTAATCTGTTCAGAGAGGAGCAGCAGAGGATGAAACAGTTTAAAGTGCGTTTGTTGCCACGGTAGGGTATCCGGGAGGCTTCAGCCAAAGCCTGCAGACACTATGTCATAGGACTCTAATTATGAGACGTGAATTCACCGGTTATATATATGCTTCTCAGGTTGGGAGCAGGGAGGCAGGGTGGTGCTGCCAGGACACTAGGAGATTAGACCTGGGTTCTAATCCCTGCTCTGCCACTAACTGGCTGTGTGATCCTGGGTAAATTGCTTCATGTCTCTGTATTTTAGTTACAGAGTATTCTGGCTAGATGACTTCTAAGATCTTTTCTAGTTCTGATACTGGTTCAAGACAAGGTTGACATAAGGGAAGCCATATTGTAGAGAAGAAATCCTATTGTAACTTTGAATGACCTCTGGTTAACTAGCCCAAATATGTTGTGGATTTTATGGCCCCTCCTAGCTGCTATAAGTTGATAACTTTGTTCTCTTGAGTTCCTTAGGAACGTGATGACCCCCTGGCAGAGAGTCTATGCTGATAGCCATCATCAAAGACAACTGAAAGATCAGGGTATAGGGTGTTGCTCTGGTCTCGGATGCATATCCAGTAAAACCAAGGACTATCAGGAACTAGGACCAGATGTCTGCCCCCACCTGGAGGTCAGATGGATGCCCCACCCGGAGACCAGCCCCATATATAACTGGCCTGTAGTCTTTGTTCTGGAAGATGGTTTTTTTTTGGACATTAGTCGGCCATCTTCCCTCTTGCTAGCAAGCTGTAATAAAAAGTCCTTTCTTTCCTACCACCTTGACTATTAGTGTCTTGTGGTGAGCAGAAGGCACCCTACCCCCTTGGGCAGTAACAGTTCTAATGTCCTATTATTTTAAGTCACTCTAGGGGTGAAATTCCAGTAAGAAGATGATCCCAAAAGTTGGTATGATGCAATAGCTTTATATCTGAGATGGTTCTGGGTGAAAACACTTGACTCTATAATCATTTCTCCAAATTATATAGCAAAGGATAAGACTCGCTTAGATGATTTGTTTTGTTTTGTTTTGTTGTTGTTTAAATTCGGGATATGGCGGAGACAATGGCTGGGGGAGCCATGGACAGTCTTGTAGTGTTACCAATATGGCTCCATGGCAGTGTTTACCTTTTGTTTTCAGATCTAAACCCCTCCCACTTGCCTTTATGTATAAAAGCCTCACATCTGGGTCGGTGGGGAGGACTACTGAATTTCTTTGGAAGAGAAGGTCAGAACCACATTAATTCATGCAGAAAGAGACAAGTGGGCCCTGTTGTGTTCAAGTCATCAATATGGCCATTGAGCCCCAGGAGACTCCTGGAAGATCCTGGGCATTAAAGCAAGCTCAGAATGCCACCAGGTAGGAAGACCACACCCTGATGGAAACGCTGGGAAGGAAAGGTTAAGGGCTTAGCATTCTTGGCCCTTCTTGGAGGTCTCCGGGGGATAAATGGGACTGCACAGATAGCCATTCCTTGGGGGAATTTTGAAAGGAATGAAGTCACATGACTCAGCTACTGAAGGACAACTGGACTTCAAAACAAAAATTTACAAAGGAAACTAACTGTTCCCAGGAATTACACGGTGCAAACCGTGGTTAAAAAAATTACTGTGGAGGTTGGGCGGGAGGGAACTCAAAGATTGTGATTGCAATTCAGAGTCCTGGGCTGATGGAATTTGACAAAAGTTTTAGGAGTGGGCAGAATGTGATGTCAACAGGAGGAAAACACTAGAAAAACAAAAGCAGAGGAAGGCTGAGTCTGCAATTAAAGAGGCCAAGGATAAAACCTGCTTACACGCTGTTCTGGGAAGAAGAGGTTGCTAGAGAGGAGGAGGTGGTGTAGCTAAGGAGAAAGTCAATATTGTGAGTCAGCCGAGTAAGATACCGGACACAGTGGATCAGTTGACAGGTGTGGGAATATTTGCACAGCAGTGGTTGGCAGAGACACAGCGGGCCTGAAACTGCAATAAAAGGAGGGGGAGTGTAGATTGTTTAGTTACCGAGGGAAAAATAAGGGAACACGCTGGTTTGGGTGGGGACTGAGTTACCTGCTGAGCCTAGATCAAGAGAAGCCATTGGACTGGAAAGGCACTTCATTTGCTCTGCGTAAGAGGATGCAGCTTTTGGGCTTACTGGTCAAGCTCTGCACCAACATAGCTGATTGTCCAGTTGTGAGTGGCCAGTCATGAAGGACAGAGACGGGGCACAAGGCCAGGTATCCCTGTGGCCCCTGGGCTGTATGTTCATTTCATAAGGTCCCCTTCTCCCCCATCAGAAAGGACTGGAATAGGTGGCAGCCTGGGAGAACAGGCTGGGTGGCTCTTTTCTTTTTGATGTTTAAAGAAACGATAGCTGTGAAATTGTTGAGACTGGAGTAATGGGGCTGACCTATGTTGAACGCTAATTATTGTGCCGGGTACTGTGCACACATTGTCTCAATTTTCTGAGATCTGTGTCATTTTCATTATTTTTACAGATATCGATACAGATGGCCAGAGAGAGATCATTTGCCCAAGGTCACACAGTAATGGGTTGAAACTGATATTTTCATCTAGTTTATCTGATTACAAAGTTATTCCGCACGGTACTGGGGCATTACCCAAAGAATAGAATCCATCAGGACAAATGAGATGTATCATCGTTTTGAGCTTCGGGGAGAAAAGAGCTATGTCAGCCAGTAGGTTTTTCTTTGTGGGAAATTGACTCAATATCTTTGGGTTGGCCCCTTGGCCCTCAGGCACTCACCATGTTGTTCCAGAGTGCGATGGCCATCTCGGCATGACCGCGTTCTGAGAAGTGGAAACAGTCTTCGGAGAAGAAGGTGAGGTCAGCATCCCCTCTCTGTGACCAAAGGCAAGGGGATTATATTCCTGGGAAAAGGGCATGGCTACCTGCCCCCCACCCACCCCTGACAGTGCCCTGGGCATTTCTCCATTCATCCTTTCAACTCTGCTGCCAACTGGCTCAGATATTGGAGGAACTCCCCACTTTCGGAAAATGTTTTTTAAAACAGACTTGAATTGTAGCTACCCACAGTCCATCCTTTTTCCTTCAGCATCCTTGCCCTAATAGTTGAAAAAGAAGAATATTTTTAGGGAGCTTTCCACTCTATCCCAACCCAGTAAATGGCAGGGCCATGCCTGGGGAGCTTGGTCGCTGTTGGTTTTCTCCTTTTCTTTCCAAGTTCCAATCATACCGAGAAAAAAAAGGAGGAAAAGCAGAAAAAGCAGCCCCTTGAGAGCCCTCTTAGAGAGAGACGGTCAAAAAAAAGCCCACGTAGAGAAGGAAATACATTGCCTAAGAAAGGCCTTTACACAGTCCCTCCCAGAAACACCTGTGGCTTACATCACTCAGGGGGACAAGAGTGTTCTGGAAGAAGGGCTGCACGACCACTGTGAAGTCCTCGCGCTGCAGGTACTGGTGCTGGTAGGAGAACCTGGTGATGCCACTCTGGGGGTGAGGAGAGAGGCTGCTAAACCCTGCTGGCACAGCTGGACGGACAGCTTCTAGTCCTGCTGTTTGGGGCTGGTTGTGCCAGGGCCAACCCGCTCTAGACAAAGGTGACTTAAAGGGACTACTCTAGTGCACGTGCATGCATTTAGCCTGCACCCATGTATGACACCACCCTGTTCCGTTCTGATGTCTCTGTAAAACCAGACTTCTTGGGCCAAAGGCCTCCCCTGTTCTCACTGCATGAAGAGGTAAATTAGAACACGGGGCTTCAGTTCCAGCTCAAGTGGGGAGCATCTTAATGCCCGCTCCCAAAAATGCCCATGAACTTGGGGGATGAGTATCCATGGTTGTTGGATTTATTAAGTCCCAAAATGTGGCTTGTAAAAGGGATAGACTAGATGTGCTTATCTTCAAGGAGCTTATAATCCATCTGGGAAAATGAGACAAGATGTAGGAAACGTGAGAACAAGTGAAGTGCGGGGTGAAGTTTAGTCAGGGGAAGCTTCTTAGAGGAGGTGAGACGACATGTTGCGTGCATGAGATGGATGAGTTGCAGAAAGTCTCGGCATGGGCATGTCAAGGGATGGGACAGCAAGAGCGGAGCTGGACATGAGAAGGAGTGTGCTGGGGAAGCAGGAACGAGACGGGGAGGATCATCTGGGGTGGAGGTAAGTAGGGTGGGGGCTCAGCCGTATGTTCTTAAGGAGGCAGGGAGACAAACTGAGGTGAACACTACCCTCCCTCATCTGGGTGAGGGGGGCGCCCCTAACCATGGTTCTGGGTGCAGGGTGATGTCACTACATGGAATCTGCTCTGGGAACCGAGGTGCTGCTCCCCTGCTCACCTTGACCCGGGGCTGGGAGCTGGGGATTCTCCCAGCTTCTGCTCTGAGATTTCTCACTCCCCTTCCCAGCCTTGGTATTTGATTCGCCTGGATAAATGTTTCAGGGGCTGTGATCTGCCTTTAGGGAGCGGCCTTCTCTCAGCTAAAGCCCTGCTGAACACACGATTTTGAAATCCTTGCTCTGGGCATAAAGAGGGCTCCCAGCTGGGACAGGAAGAAGAGGGGTACAGCCTCACCTGGAAGTTCCAGTTCACTTTCTTCAGCTCTTGCATCTCCAGGGAGTTGTCCTGGGAGCGTCTGAGGCAAGTGCAGTTGCTCCTGTGAGACAAGGAGTCCTGTGTAGAGGCTCCCTGGGGTGGCCTAGCTCTGTGCCCCCAGGAGGCTGACCCCCTCCCTGCCCCTGCCCCCCCCAGGCCTGGCCCCTGTGCTGCCTAACATGGGATGGTGGTGAAGGAAGTAAATTATATTAAAAATTTAAAAGTTAATACTTTAGAGACAGGCACCTCCACACCCTAAGGATTCCTGGTATAAGGGGGAACGTTTATCGATC